GCCCGCTCCTGCCAGATCCAGCCCCGTATAGTCTCCTTCTCTGCCTGACTTACCCCAACTTGTGACTGAACCTCAGGAGGACCCTGCCTGGTCCTTCCCAGTGCTTCCACCTGCTCCTTCCCAGTCAACCCTCCCTGGACTTGCTCTGTTGACCATTTTCCCCTTCTCTCTTCCCAGAAAGGGTGTACTGACAGGGATGTGAGGTTGTAAGGACAGGTATTTGCATTCATCCCTGTTTTGCTGAGCTTCACACAGGCTGGCTATCATTTCTGTCTGCAGCATGCTGCAGGCTCAAGCTGCTCTCGTAACTGCTAGCTGGTTTTACCCTGCCAGCATCGGAGGCTAAATATAAGCCCGTGGAGCCGGCCCTGCATCCCTGTATGCCCGTATCTGGCAGTGCCTGGCATTCCACCGTGATTTCACTGAGCCCATGCTTTTCACGAATTTGGCAGCTGAAGAGAGCCGCCTCTCCCCAAATAAGCTGTAGGAGTTCCTGAAGGAATAGGAAACAGACTGCTAGTTTTCTCTTCAGTGGAAAGGGCAATGTTGCAAATTTTGTTTGAGTCCCTAAGTTAGATGTTGTGCTCCACCTCTGGGAAGTGAAAAAAGTCATGCCAAGAACTTGTTCAGCCAGTGCTGCTTGCTGCCCAGTGGTTTGTTTGGTAACACTGTTCTTTTTGAGGAAACCGGTATTTTTAAAGGATTGGCATTTATTAAACAACATTTAATGCGGAAGGGAAACTTATGATGAATACATTAGCATCTGTGCCAGACCAAACATCTGTAATTTTTAATGTGTTAGGCAATAGGAAATCGGAATTTTCATTCTGCTTTTCAGCTGACACTATAAATCAGCTATTTTAAATTCAACCAAATTGAAGAATTAAACTTTTTGGTTCTTGGGGTCAAAAATGAATAGTCTTTGTTCAGCAAACAATTCCACATGAACTAGACATGTGAATAATCTTGTCCTTAAATTTCTTGTTTACACACTGAAAAATGCAGATGATAGTTTAAAAGAAAAGCAGAGGCATATGCTAATTCAAAATATGCCCAGACAAATGGTAAGAGCCTGCCAAGTTTTGCAGGTTTTAGGCTTCACTTTCACATTAGAAGTACCTATATAAATCCAGAGCTGAAGAACAGTTCCCAGCTTGACTTGACAAGATGCCCCTAGAGAAAAGAGTGGCTGCAGCCAGCCTGCCCTCCCCTCTCTGCTAGTGACCGCTGATAACCAAAGGGTACCTCTGCTCTTTTGGTGCCTGCTGGGGAAAGAGATTTCTGGCAACATCTCTGCTGGCTTCAATTTTTGCCATTCAGTTAGCAACCAGTGAGGGCTAAAAAGAAACCTGCCACAACATACAAATTGTTACAGTAGTCAGTCATCAGTGACTGAGTTATTTGACTTAATGAGACACCTTTTGTGAGCTGGGTTACAATAACCTGCCTTCATTAAAAAGTAAAATAAATTAGAATAAACTACCATGAAAGTGATTAAAACCAAAGCATGAAGTGTTTAAACCAGTATGTCATATTTAACAGGTTGGTAGGCAAAAGATGTTCCTGCCTACACTTACACAGCCTGAGCTTAATAGTGCAATTTGATAATTTCGTAACTTAGAATTGTCTTATTGACGCAAAGGCTAAGGATTCAACACCTACAGATGCTGGTACCCTTCACTGTAGCTTGTTTGCTCTTTGAAATGATTGGTGCAGAAGGGATGTTACAGAAAACAGATTTTTAAAATCTAGTATTACAAAGCACCTTGAACAGAGTATTTTGCAGAGATACTCCCAAATTATCAGAATGTGCTTGTGACTGGACAAAGTACTTAAACTATTCAGAAAGTAATTCTTGAAAGTATGAAAAGTCAATAATTGCAAAACATTGCTGACCAACTTCAGCTAATGCATCTTGGAAGGGCAGTGATGGTCTCAAGATGAACTTAATGAAGAGGCAAACTTTTACATGTTGGTTGGAATAGCTAATTGTGCAAACAGGGTAGAAAGTGACATGGAGAATCAGTGAATTGCCATGTGCCATCAACCAAATGCTAACCATTTCATACTGCTGAGAAAAAGATGAATGTCATATGGGGATGTATGAACAGGAGTGCCATATGCAAGATGTGTGAAATCATCCTCCTACTCTACTTGCTGCTGAAAGCCTCAGCCTGAATCCTGCACCTGGATTTAGGCACCACACTCCATGGAAGATGTGGAGTGGCCAAAAGCAAGAAGACTGCTGGAAGTCTGGTAGGCATAGTGTGAGGAAACTGGGATGAAAGGGAATAGAACTGGGCAAGTGAGAGTGGTCCCAAAGATGCAAAGAAAAATAAAATAGTTTTCCAGATACAGTGGATAAATCAAAAGAACAGCTGAGTTGCAAAAGGGGAATTCAGGTTAGACATGATGCAAATGCTGTAGCAGTAGTGCAGTGAAACACAGGGGGAAGCAGCCCAGGAGGAAACAAAATACAGGGTGAGAAGTTATCTGTTAAGAAAGACATGATCTGGCCCTGTGGCAGAGAGCAGATGATGTCTGGATTGTGTCTCCCTGGCTCCGCGATGCTGACAAAAATTTAAAAATCCTCAGCTGCTATAAACTTCATTAATGATTTATACCAGTAAAGGGGCCTTGCCTGAAATGTGTCCAGTATAATAATTTTTTCTATTTAATTTTTGCTTTTAGCCATAAGAGTATGATTAATAGCAATAGGGCTACACTGTTAGCCAGAAATCCTTTAGCTTTCTAAAGGTCAGTTTATCTATGATCTAATCTGACGGTCACTGAAATTAAGTGGAAGCAGTTCAGTGGGCCATAACAGAAGGTGGTTTGTGTCTCCAGCCTTCAGTTACCTTGAGTTAAACCATCCTTTATGAGCAAAACAACATAGAGGAATGAAATAAATTTTGAAATGCATGCTGAATCTTTCTGTTGCACTGCAGGAGAAAAACCCAGAAACCTCCCTTTCTAGCTCTCTGCTGGTTTAAAACAGCTCCCATTAAAAATTCCAGTATGTATGCCTTTAGTGCCTTCTGTCCACCCATTGAGATTCCTGCCCCTTGGGAGACTTTATGTAGCTGGGGAAGCAGGCAAGATTCATACAAGCTTGACTGCTCTGTCTTGACTCGTTCACAGTGAGAGGTGAGCTCCGTATTTGAAAATTACTCCTTGTAAGAGTAGAATACTTCAATTAGGCAAGACAAAAAAAAAAAAAAAACCAAGGGGAAAAAAAAGGAAAAGAAAAGCAGAATTGGTTGTACAGCTCGGCAGTTAAAGGAGCATTAAAATAGAAGTGTGAAACTTTTCATAGTTATCTGTAATTCTTTAAGGATTTCAAATCTAAGATAGTCACTATTAGTGAAAGATTGTACCAGCAAGCAGATGCTTTGACCCCTAAGCAGAGCTAATATTTCATATTTTTGAGTTGCTTCCCCCAGGTATTTTCATTTTGTACAGCTGGACTTTAGACTGCTTTTCTACTGCTCTTGCAACACACCTCCCTAATATTGTATGTAATATACACCACTTAGTTTGAGGAATTGAATTTTATAACGATGCACAGGCATAAAAACCCACAAAAGAAACCAAAGACGTAGGTCAGAAAGATAGCCTTCTTTTGACTCTTTCTCATGCTGCATTTCCTCCAGATTATGATACAGTTTAATTTTCATGGATGTCATCTGAAAATGAGAGCCAGTGCAATGCAGCTGAATTCTCTTTGTCACTGAATATATTCTGTACGTTAACTGGGAGTGTGATGCACTGAAGCATGGTCTTTAATTAAAGTGCAACAATACCACAGCTACAGTATGAGCACGGCATAGGAACATGGCACTGGATATAAAAATAGCTGCGCTGAAATCTGTCATATCACTACACAATGTGACTAAGTCAGTGGAGACACTCTTACACTTGAAACCTGAAGTATTACTGAGCACTGATTTTCAGCTGGGGAAGCTGTGATCAAATCAATGCATGTATTATTCTCCACAAATGAATAATGGCGTGAATGAGGACATATTAAACACCTACAGTTCACAAAGCTTTTCACACTGGTTATGAACCAAACACAAACAAAGAGGCTGTGAACTCTCCAGAGCTCTCATTTTGTCTCCCGTGAAGTCCTCCTGCCTGTTTGGATACAATGCATGGCATCCCCACAAATGCTCTGGTGCCAACAAGAGAGGGCACCGGTTTTTGATTGGGAGCAAGCTGACCATCTTCTCTCCTCCTCCTTCGTACTCTTGAGGAAAAGAAAACAAAATGAAACTACCCCACACCTTGCGGCGAGTGAAGGCGGTACAACAACCGGGAAAATGAATATGCCTCTGCTGGCACCAGAGCCAGGGAGCGGCCACTGGTGCTCCCCTCATAGCCCTCCACCAGGGGATGTTCTGGCACTACGTGGACGGGTCCGTTCTGACTGAGGGAAGCAATGCTCTCCATGCCACTGTTGTGAAACCCTCCCTACTTTCACTCAGCCAACACAGGAGCATCAGGAGAAACGCAATCCAGAACCGACCACTGCCCTTATCCCACAGACAATGGCAAGCCATGACAGCACTGCTCTGCCCTCTGAAGGACCCAGCGCTCTCTTCATGTCTAACACAGCGCCCCTTTGAGTTACTGGAACAGCTGACACTGTCATCGTGGCACGGGGACTTCTACAAATGTCTCCCTCCAATGCTGGCTACCAAACCCAGAATCAAACATTCACAGAAAAGCAGCTGGGCTCCCTCTCTCCACATCTGTGCATCCCTGTTCCTTGCTACTGCACAGGCACTGCATCCTACAGCAGGGTGCTATGCTGCAAAGGAGCCCACAGGCATGATTTTAACACCCCAGCGCAGCACAAACGGTTTAGGAAAAAAGGTTGTGTGGATTTGGCAGGGAGGAGGCACCGGGAGCCATGCAGTGATGCTTCTCTGCTTGCTGGGAAATGCGTCGGGGAGGCACAAAACACACAAAAGAGAGAGGAGATAGGAAATAGTTACCTAACATGACGAAGGGGATTCCCAGGAAGGTGGAATTGTATTTCCCACCAGTGAGATTGATGATCCCAGCTGCAGTCAGGGTGGCAAGGGTCACAGTCAGCAATCCCAGCAGGCCAAGCCAGGGTTTGCTGCGGACACAATCCTGCATGGAGCAGCAGAGAATGGCCAAGGTGACCACAAGGACCAAGCTTGTGATCAGGTAGCGTTCTGACACCCTGCTTGTCTTCTGGAAATCCTCCTTCAGCGAAGAAGAAGTGAAAGGATACATTTTGATTTTCCTGTTGGATTTCTGGAAAAGTTCAACAGTGTCACAAAAAATGGATTCCCACTTCTCTGCCACCATGTCATTCAAGGAGTTGATTGCCTGCAAGTAGTAGGTGAGCTGAATGGCTTCTGCAGACTTCACCCGGTCTTTGCTGTGCACAGTAACCCCACCAAGCTGATGCCCATTATACACTTCCCTGCCATCCTTTAAGTGAGTAATCGGATAAGTGATTGCAAAATTAGTTCGATTAGAAGAACGAGCAGCCTTTAATTCCTCCAGTACATGCACTATGTCGTCCACTATGCATGTCTTGTCATTGTTCAGGATACATATATGGGCAAACGTGTAATTGAAACCAGGTCTTTGAACTTGGATCCTGGTCACAGCAGAGTGCAGCTACAAGGGAAAGAGAAATCACATACGTTATTCATCAGTTCATCTCACGCAGCAGCAGCCAGAACAACAGCGGCTCCTCACCTCCGTCCCTTTCCTATTCGATCTAAGCAACAACAACAGAAGTTCTGGTAACTGTAGTATTAATAGCACACTCATTGCAAAAAAAGGAAACATGCATTAAAATAGCAGGATTATTCCCCTGCATCCCTTGCTGGTAACTTTGGTGGGTTGTGATTTGCATCTGTGCCAGGTACACCTGCCGTTTGCCCTCTCTAAATAAGCAAACTCAAAAGGCCTGGACTTCCACTTTCAAGTGATCAGGGTGAACATCAAAGGGAGCGCTACAGCCTGGCCGTCTCCAGGGACTCTGTCGTGCTCAGGATTGCCAAATTACTCTCTCTAACAGATAAACTGCAGGTACAGAAGGCATAAGAGTAATGGGGCCAGGGATGCCACCTGTGTGGGTATACCGGCAACCTAGCAGCAGCAGGGGACTAGCACTAGCTCTGAGGCTACAGAAGCATGTCCTAAGTGTAGAGATTGTCCGTGTAGCAGTGTCCTGGGTTCAGCAGTAGCAGTCATTTTTCCTGTGTGGTGTTTTGACTTTCAGCCAGCAATGTTTAGGTTTGACAAGGACTTTGTGAGCCTCATGCTCTGCCAGCAGCAGGGGACTGACCAAAGAGGTATTCCATACCACAGCACGTCATGCCCAGGATGTAACTGAGGCTACAGGGTTGGAAGCATTGTCGGGCTGGGGGGGCAGTTAGTGTAGAGATTGTTATTTCCTTTAACATTATTATCATTGGTGGTAGCAGGAGTGATTTGTGTTATACCTTAGTTACTAAACTGTTCTTATCTCAACCCGTGGGAGTTGCATTCTTTTCGATTCTCCTGTCCCTCCGAGAGCAGGGGGAGGGCAAGAAAAGGGGGGGAAGTGAGTGAACAAGTTACCTGACTGGGTTTAAACCACGACAGCAGGGATAACTGGCATTAATTCATCTTGCCCTGTTTCCCCCTCCGTCTTTCCCCCATCAAATCCTCAAGAAGTCTGAGAGTGGGAAGCAATGGCAGAGACTGACATCAGTTTTCTTGCTCTGAGAGGTTCAGTTAACCAGGGAAGGACCCATAATTTTAGGGACTGCAAGTTATTACCGCTTATTGCCTGGTCTAGCAGCTCTTAGTGCAGCCTCCTTTGTAAGTTGTTTGTCAACCTTCTGAAATTTGCCATTCCTGAGCTCTGACCTAAAGCACATTTGCTTATTTTTGAGCATCAGGAAGGCAGAAAAATTACCCTCACCTCTTGAAAAAATACAGAAAACTCTTGTAACCTTTTATGAATCCATTTTAGTCAACACAGAAGAGGCAAGAAATCTGAAAGATCTGAAAGAACAGCCCTAACAGGTGGAGTTGTAATGTTTTTCAAAAGTAAAATATTGAGTTTTCTAATGTTGGGAGCATTAGCAAAGTGCAAACTGGGTTTTTTTGCACATTTTCCTTACAAAATGTACAGGCCTCACCCACCACCACCACCATTTAACTCCGTGTCACTCCAGTTGTGTAGAGTACCAAGACCTTCCATAAGGATGCTGCTGAGGCCAAGACTATGTTAACTAGCACCAGAAGCCTGAGCAGATTTTCCCTGTGGCTGTCATGTCCTTCATGGTGGGTAACCACAAAAGTTCAGGAATGGGCTCTCTCTGCCCTTTTTTAGGTGACATAGAGGGGACTCTACATCCCAAATGCCAGAGGCCCCTGCATGCTGCTGGATATATGCTTTGTGCATGGCTTGTTGAGTCATGCGATCCTCTTGAGGTGTGAGCAGGGACGATGCAGAGGGATGCTCAGCCCTTGTGCTGCCTGTTCCAAATGACCCTGTGGACATGGCAGTCTGTACAGCCCAGTTGCTTGGGTGGCCACGTCTGCCGCTATGATCACAGATCTGCTCTGAAGAACTGCATGGATTTATCCTTTGGTCCCTTTTACACCCAGGGAAATGATGGAAGGAGCATTGCAAAGGTGTGGCGACAAAAGCAGGGCTGATAAAAGAGAAGCCTTCCATTACCTGCAAAGTGGAGAGACCACAGCTCTTTCAGGGAGCTGAAGAGCCAAATTAAGAACTCCTCTAATTTCTTTTCCTTAACGGGGATATAGTTATTTTATGTCATCAGATTTTGAGCAAGACACAGAGAACTCGCTACATGGATGTGATTTTTTTCTTTTTTTCTAATTGCACATACTGTTTTCTGCTGTAATCCAAAGAGGGCACGGAGGCTCTTATGCCCAGTGGAGAGGCTGGGATCAGGTGACATTTAATGGAACCAGCTCCTTTCTGAAGACAAACACTCGTTAAAAAATAGAACACAGGGAGAGCAGTAGAGCTTATATACTCATCTGGTGGCAATGGACAAGATGTTTCACAGCCAAAATCATGTATCTGATGAAATGAAATAGTCATAGTGTCTTTTGTGTGGTATTTATGACCAATCATAGAAAAAACCCCAACATTAGTACGGTACTATGAATCTGATTGTTTTGTGATGACATTGCATAATCTGCGATGGGTATAAATTTAGTTATGTTGCCTCAGTTCCTCAGGATGATATGACATCATATAAGCAAAGACAACAAAATTCCTATATTCTCAACTTGTTTCTCTATTAGCTTAGGGGTGTATTTTTCCCCATCTGAGAAGTTTTAATTTTTTGATAGAACAACAATTCAATATTGACATTAGAAAGATAGGTTTGAGAAATTAACTGAACTAAGCAATCTTTTCAAGGTACTGTGAGAACACAGTACCTGGCCACGGTGAGAGGCAAAATTCCCCATCGTGGTGGGAGAAGAAGTAACTGTCTGTGCAACACATTTGGAGCTTTTGTATCATTTGGGAAGTTAGTTGTGCAAATTAAAAGGTTTTCAGGAACATGCCAAAGACCTGAACCTGTATGGGGAATTCCTCCTGTCTTTCACGTCTGTGTCTGCAAAAGCTCTGCTTTGCAAGTGCTGTTTAGGCACACAAATTCAATTATTAAAGTTTGGGGAAAATGCCCTTATTTGCTGAATCAAAGACAGGTATCTGATTTTAATTCTTTTACGATGGCAGCTACTGCATGGTTTTCATTGACAATGGCTGTAAAATGAGATGTCATATGAAGAAGCACAGCTGAGGACAACTAGGAGGAACAGAAAAAAATTCCTGCTTGTGTTAGATTCACAATACAATTTCTTCAGAGAGGATCCATTGAGTGACACAATGCAGAAGAAACTAAACTGTTACGCAACTTTTATCAAACAATGTGTGTTTGCTATTTACCTACCTTGCCTCACTGCTGCGTTTGCTTCCTTCTACATCTGAAGCACTTTCTTTTAATATTCAGGTTATTAAATAACCTCATGTGTCACAGCTGTTACTTCATCTTTAGTGAAAGGCTAGAAGCTAAATGTCATACCTAAAATACTCATTTCTTCTTGGAAATGATCATCTCAGATGCAGGAGCCCGTTCTGTGGCAGTGGCCCCATGCTTCCTGCAAAGCCATGCTGGCTGGACCTGTGGGGGTGACCTGACCATCGCACCTCCTGGCGAAGGGGCTTTGGGAAGGAAAGGGGAGCAGGCAGCCTAGCTCTGTACCATGGCATATCCTAGCAGCCAAGCGGCCCCCAGAGCCGGCTGCAAGCTTGTACAGTTTAAAGCAGCTATAAGATGCACTCTGAGCCTTGCCAGTGGCCACATTTGGTTGCCTTGAGTTGGGGGCAAGCAGCCAAAGAGGAGGAAAACCTTCCATTCCCTCCATTCCAGCAAAGCATGCCGAGCACTGCCCCAGCATGCCCAAGGACTCAGCTCTGGGAAGCCTGACTGAGACTTTCATCCTCAAGACAAATGCATCACTTCACCTGCACTTTGCTTTTACAGACAAGATCCTTGGAAAAACCCCTCTGTCACCTCAGTTGCAGGACAGAAGCGTGCTGCAGTGTGGCTGCAGGCTGTCTCTCTCCCTTTGCTTGCCTGTGGCAGCCCATGTGCTGCAGGACTGCTGCCGCTTCCACACTGAGAGCTGCAGTCCCATGGCACTCTCCTCTCTACTGCCATGCTGGGGATTCAGCTGCAGCCACTTGCATCCAGAGCTCACACCCAAAGCCCAGGGTGACTGCCTTCCACAGAAAACAGGAGGTCTGAGAGGTTACAAGGGCATGTCCTACCAGTTCAAGGGATTACACAGTCTGCAGTTTGTTTTGCTTATGGTACACCAGGAGGTCCCCCAGGAAACTTCAGTTTGTTAACAGGAAATGGTAAAGGCTGTTGCGTGATGGGGACAGCATTAGCAAGCGCTAATGCACAATGCATATTGCACTCCTCGGTGCAGCAGATTTTAATGGCAAGTAACCATATTCTGGATAAACCTGGCACCTAATACTGGGACAAATGACTGACCCCCAGATTCTCATTTATCCAGCTGTTTTCTTGTCCTTACTGATCCTATTAGAAGAAAGGGAGATTGAAAGGAATAACAAAAGCCGAATGAACATTTTTTCTTGAAGGGAGACATGCACTGCTTGCTCATCACTCACAGCTTTTTCAGCTAGCTAACAGTGCAAGGAACCAAAAAGCAGTTTGCTGCTGAGATGACAGAGCACTGCAGTATGAGAACTGCACAGCATTGCCTAAGCTCCCTTGCCATGGTGGCACACTGTCCCTGAAAGCACTCAGGCATGAAATAGTAACTTTCACTTCTCCCTTTCATCATTGCTTAAACAATGACCATCACTTGAAATTCCCCTCTCCCTTCCAAAAATGGTGTGTATGTGTGTCCTGTATCATACCACAGATTTCTAGAACAGTGTTTTCTATTCCTTCAGACTTTAGCTGTTTGCGTTTGGTAATGTCTTGTCCTTGGTCTTTGTTTACTTTAAGTCCCATCCTCACTTGGTTATTTATTTCAGACAGGCAGGAAAGGTGGTTTCAACCAGGAGACAAATCCCTTTCAGCAAATACCTCCAGGTG